TATCTATCTTCCACTCTGCTCCCATCTTTATTCATATCTCTATCTTTACCTCTAGATTGATTTTTATTCCTGACAATCTTCCACTCTGCTTCCATCTTTATTCATATCTCTATCTTTCCTTCTGTCTCGATCTCTGTCCCTATCTATCTTTGGCTTTGAATTTGAAGACAGTTTCCTTCAAGTAGTTTTACTTTTTTTTTATAAAGTAATTTTCAGCGTCCTCTTACAGTTTATTTTAATACATTTTATGAGAGAACCCGCGTAATGCTTTTAAAGGCGGCAGCATAAGTTTTCAATTGCAAGTCATTCAAAACCGAAAACAACAGGAATTTTTTTTTTTTTTTTGGTTTTTGTTATAAACACTAATTGTCTGAGTGAAGTGATTCATATCAAATTTATTCTTTTTATATCGAATGAGCGAAGAAACAAGAGAAAAATGAATGAAAATTAAATGTAAGCAAAAATTCCAGTTTGACGATGGCAGCACCGTAATAATAACTTCCCCCCGGGTTGACCGTCAACATGCAACTTGCAATACCAGACGCAATGATCTTGATTTAACTACTTTCCATACATAAGCAAATGCGCCTATTTGTAGATAGCTATATATATATATATATATATGTACGTGTATTTATGTTCGAAGTTGTCCTCATTTCACAATTAACCCACATGCTAGGAAACTGAAAAAATTTTATACATGCCTTTGCGTTCGTATACCGTAAGCCCTCAGCCAAGAATATTTATATACGTATACATGTGTTTTACATATTAAGTTGGCGGGAAGGAATAACTTTCGTAAACTATTTTTAATTTACTCTTTGCTCTTTTTTTTTGGATTTTTTATCGCCTAACAGATTGTGCCCAAATCGATTTATATGAATTTCTAACGGAAGCTGAACTGCAGCATTACTATAATGCCGTCAAGTAAGTGTGTTGCGCTTAGTCAGCTGAAATATTTCATATTTTGTATCTTTTATTTATTTTGTTTTTTTGTTAACAGGAATGAACTTAAAATTACGAATGCTTCGCAATTTAAATATGCCACAGATGAGGACCTTAAAAGCATTAGTATGTCACGGCCAGAGATACGACGTTTGCGTAAATTCTATGAAAAACATTTCCCCCACGGTTATCTTAGCAAAATTAAGCGTTTATTACAAGCTCCCACAGCTATCGTGAAGCGTGATGAATCTTCGGGAAGCGGGGCAGGTGGTAGTACGGGCACCTTGGGCAATGCCTCTTCAACGCCTGGTAATTTGAATAGTTCTTCGGGAGCGATTAATAAAAACAATAGTTCTCCGAGTAAGGCGCCCAACAATAAACATATAATACCAGCTGATGCCATTAGTGTTAATAAGAAGGTAAAGGTTCCCTTCATTTCATTTCTACATTTCCTCAAATGCAGATCGTAGAACCCATAAAACATATATTACGCATATAAATAAACTCCTTGCGCAAAAATTAGTTGCTTTATAAAACATACCTGACGTATTCAAATTCCCCGAAATTTTAAGTAAAGATAACGTAGACCTTGATGGTTGAAGGATAGAAGTTTCGGCCGGCCTATATCGAAGCCTAAAGAGATGGATGACAATTTACAGACCTGCAGTTTTCTTTGTTTTTAACTGAATCACGCTGCGAAAAAAGGCGGCTGACTCTACAGAAATGATTAAATTGGCTTCAAATGAAAATTCAGTAAGCTACGAAACAGTTAGAAAGTGGCCTGCGAGATTTTGAGCAAAAATTTGCAGTCAAGAAAATGATGAAGACTTGCATACGTCCGTCTGTCTCCTGCAAAAATAACCAAGAAAATAATTTGCAACCTAGGCTGGGAAGCTTAAACGCATCCACTATATTCTCCAGGGCGGACCACTTTCGATTAGCACTGATTCAGGTCGAAATAGTCATATTTAGATTTGGGAAAATGAATCGATAGTTATTTTCGGCAAGTTTCTACCGCGACCGCATCCATAAGCTATTCGATAAAAAGCAAAAGACCACAAGTGATGACGGGGGTACATTTCGATTATTAAGCTTTCTAACAAGCGTATTTTAAGTACAATTGAATTTTATCAAAAACGAGCAGGAATTTATTTGTACACTTGTCGCATAAATATGTCGAGTCAATGTGTGTAAACGAGTAAAGGGTAATCGAGAGAGGTTTTCTTTATTGCGTTATCTGAAGACAACTTTACGATGATCGAGTAAAGAGTAATCGAGTGAGATATTCTTTATTCTTTTTATTAAGTTATCCGAAGATGAATTTTGATTTTAAGCCTTCGCCTAGAATGTCAGATTTTTCACACTTTTAAAGCTTAGATTTCGTTATTGTTTTTTATAATAATCAGGAGTCAGGAACAATCGCACTTGAATAGGCATCCAAATGACGGCTTTGTATCACGGATTAACTCTATCCGTCCACCTGTGCAAAGGTTCTTGGAAAGCGTTTTCTTACTCCATCGGCGTCGGGCATCGCGGGAGTAAACTGTCACGCTAGAAATCCACGTTAAACTTTTAGACACCTTTACCATCTATAGCATATTATGTAGTACTTGATGATATTTTGCTGTTAATTGATTGGGTTCTTATGTTTATTGTAGCTGGGTACCGGTGAGTTTGGGATTGTGCAGCAAGGTGTTTGGACCAACGGTACAGAGAGGGTAAGTTCTGAACACATGTACATCATTTGAGAAAAATTTAACAAAAATCTGTTTGCATTGTCAGATTCAAGTGGCTATTAAGTGTTTATGCCGTGAACGTATGCAATCAAATCCAATGGAATTTTTAAAGGAGGCTGCAATTATGCATTCCATCGAACATGAAAACATAGTACGCTTATATGGTGTTGTCCTGGCAACCGATTCGTTAATGTTAGTCACAGAGTTAGCTCATTTACGTTCGCTCTTCGAGTGCTTGAAAGATGCCGGCTTGAGAGTCAGTTTTCTTACCGTTCCCACTTTATGTGAGTTTGCTTTGCAAATCTGCAATGGTATGCGCTATTTGGAAAATAAACGCTTGATACATAGGTAAAATGAAATACAAAAAAAAAAAAAAATTATTTATTATTAAATATAAATATTATTCTCTCTGTAGGGATTTGGCTGCTCGTAATATATTGGTATTTAGCAAGAATAAAGTGAAAATTTCCGATTTCGGTTTGTCGCGTGCATTGGGTGTAGGCAAAGATTATTATAAAACTAATTTTAATGTTAATCTTAAGCTTCCGATAGCCTGGTGTGCTCCCGAATGCATTAATTATTTACGTTTTACTAATGCCTCAGATGTTTGGGCGTATGGTGTTTGTTTATGGGAAATGTTCTCTTACGGTTTTCAACCGTGGGCGGCTTTAACGGGACTGCAAATTTTGGAAGCCATAGATGCACCAAACTATCAGGTAAATAATATTAAACAATTTTTTTTATGTTTTTAAGGTTAAGCGCGGTTTTTTTAATTGCTTTTCTATTTAAAGCGTCTTGAACAACCCGAATGCTGTCCCCGTGAATATTACAATTTAATGATGAAATGTTGGCAAGATGATCCTAGTAAGCGTCCAAAATTCAATGAAATCTATGAAATGCTGCCCGAAATGAAACCGGAACAGCTAAAGGCCGTTGATAACTGCTTGGAATCGAAAACTAAAGATCATTTGATTTATAGACAGAATGATATAATAACTGTATTAGATCGTAACACGGGTACGCCATTTTGGAAGGGGGTCTTAAATTCTGGCAAAACGGGTTTATTTAATCCATCGAATACAGTTGCTTATGTGGAGGGTTTGCCCACACTAAATAGGTATGAACGCAACATTTTTTTGTGTAAGCAATTTTTACGATTTTATTGCAAATTTGTAGAGAGTCCTTTAGTCGTAGCACCAGTGATCGTGCTAGCAGTAAAAGAAAATTGCGTACGGAAATGATTTCGAAACCACAAAATGATTTTAAACATACCGGCCACGTGGGTATTGACGGAGCTTCCTTTGGTGATATTGCATTTCTGGGATCGTCTCAAAACGTAAGTGCATATATGACAAATTCGAGACTTAATCAGATTGCAAAACCGGCACTAAGAACTAACTGAAGGTACTTTGTGGTTTTTGATCTTAGCCAACAATGTTCCAATTAGTAGAAAGGCGTGTGGTCGGAGATGTAGCATACAATCGTGACCTTCTCAGCTGTTCTATTTCGGAAAAAAAATATGTTTGATATCTGACCCGCGTCATCAAAGGACGTAGCAAAAAGTCTCACTAGAAAGTAATTCCGTGAACGGCTTTAAACGCAGTTCTAATTGGTCCTTACGGTTGCCTCGTGGCAGACAGCTTACCTTAAGGGTGACATTACCTTGCCTTCTACAAGAAGTTGCATATTCTGGAGAGGACGTGCCATTACCGTCAATTTTTTAAAACAGAAAAATTTCCGATTGGTTATAAATTGCCCTAAGTTGTCGTTGTTCTCTTAAGATCCGTATGCGATTTTGGCTGCTATATAATGACTCATCTACTTGAATATCGCATCAAGTTGGGACTTTTACATCTATTAGATATTATTGTTTCTAACTAAGTTTCTTAAACCGTCCATTAATTTCTGCTTCTTCTTTTTATTTATTTTATAGTATAATCACGTGCCCCGTCAAATTGTTACGCCGTACAAACCATCCGAGGATATTGAGCAAACACCGCTTTTACTGCCACCAACGCCCACTAGTCCAGATTCTTTACAGACTGCGTCTGGCTATTTTGCTGATGATAGCCAACACAGTACATCGACTATGAATCCTTCATTTATTCCATCAACTGAAAATACTCCAAAGAATTTTAATAACACTAATAGACAATCAAATACCTTCGAATTTCCTACTGATCACACGAATACAAACACGAATCCATTTTCTATGCATAAAGCAGGCGAAGATAATGCAAATATGACAATGGCTTTACAAAATAACAATTATGGCGTAGAAAATAAAGAACAATTATCTTGGCGCCAAACGCTAACCGCCGCTAACAGGCAAAGTGAAAGTTTCGACGAGCCTCATCAGTATCACGAGATATCAGATGATGATGAAATGACTCCCGATAAATTAGATTTCGGACCATCGTTATTAGATGAGATCAATTCTATGTTTGGTTCTATGACAGCAACGACCAGCACAACATTAACAACAACAATTACGCACAATAAAAATGCTGAAATTGATAATTCGAATACTAATACAAATACTCATAATAAACGTGGTGATTTTTCGGATCTAACCTCAAAACTTATACGAAAAAATAGTGCTGGTGCAACGAAGAAGTCTAAGAATTCTTGTGGCGTTGTAAAACCGATTTCGGTAAAAGATGAAAGAATTTTGAATCAAGCTATTGAGATTGCCAATGAAATTAGTGCCAGGTTGGCGATTTGTTTCAATATATATTAAATGTGCCTTTATATTTAATGTTACACTAATTTACAGATCTATGTGTAGCTTGGTTTCCGATCAACCGCCACCATCTACTCAAAGTCCTAAGCGTAAATTTAGTTTTCGTTTTCCTCATCTCAGCAATCATCCATCTAGTGTTGAAAAAACTCAAACAAATATTGGTTTAAACACGGCTGGCGTGGGCACAGCAAGTAGCACCAGTCACTTGCATACTTTATCACCAAATTCCAAAAAGAAGAACTTCACTGAGGAATTGAAAAGTATACCGGATTTGCAAGTAAGTTCACTAACACATGCATTCGATTTTTCCATTGACTTTATTAAGAGTAATTAAAATTTTTTCTTTTCTTGAATTTCTCTCTTTTTCTCTACTTGTGGTTTTGATGATTTTTATATAATTTTTCTTTATATATATATACTTTGATGAATCTTTTGTTAATTTAAGTGCTTTCGATCTATGTCAAGTGATTTGAATAATTTAACCACATCCACCTCTACTGTAGATATTCGTATACCATTGTTTGATAAGAAGAGTTCAGATTTTTGTTTTGAAAAATCTCGAGAAATATTAAGTCGCCCTTTAACGTTTGGCAGTCAAATTTTGGCTTCCGATAATACTAACAGTATACCTCCATCATTGGAGGAGTATAAAGATTCTTTTGCCTCAGTTGATCGTGGGGAGGATTCTCGCAAAAAAACCTTAAATGAAAATCTATTTGACATTGAGAATACATTAAAAGCCTTGAATTTGGATTTTATGCATACGTACACGGATCTGGATAAAACTGATTCTGACGAAACAATATTGAACGATCAATTTTCAAGCATAGTTTCTTCTATAGACGATGAGATTAGCAGTGCCGCAGGTAGTCTGAAATCTACAGGAGTATTCAATTATAATAATGGGAAAAATACTACGACGACCACTTTTGATTTTAATGCAGCCACTACACATTTGGACAAACATTTGCAATATATGAAAAATGCTCAGGCTAATAATCAAACTACTACTGGTACTGGTACTGTCACTGACAAATGTTGTAGTACACCGGATACAGGTTTCGCTTCGCGCGATACAATTTCTCTATCACGCCGTAGTAGTCAAAAATCGAGCTACAGTCCACAGGATAGCTACTTCAGTCCTTCGGCATGCAATGGAATTGCCGGTTTCCCTTTGCCTTATAAGAATGGTGCGCAAAGATATAATAATGAAAATGTGACTTCCCCTTTTCGTGGCTCGCAAATTACTCCTCATGAAAGCAGCACAATTTCTGTTTATTCACCTAAACAACTCACGCTTGAGGAGGACGATTCGTGCAATCGTGGGCATAGTAAGTTACGTTTGCGTTCCATGTCCTTTACTGATAATCTTAATCCCGTCTCGGAATCTTATAAATATGATAAGAGACGTGATCAATGTACCAAACATTCTCAGAGTTCCGACGACGCCACCAGCCATCGACGTCGTCAAATATATAAACCGCGATCAATTAAAGCTCGTACATTAAGGCGTTTAAGTTATAATCCTATAACGGCTGCCGCTACTAGTTCCTCATCGAGCAGTGAGGAGGAAAGTGTTCACAGCATTGACTGCAGTATAGCTCGTTCCGAATGCGATATACGTTCACGTGCTTTGATTTCCCTAAGTAAACGGCGACGTCAAGGTATGACACGTAAATTATTTGATGGGCCCCATCATGATGATCATGAACAGATTATTGGAGCACCAAATAAATTGTACGGGTCTAATGTTAGTATTAAATCAGCTCCTCATTATAACTATGGCTTGGCTAACACGCGTAGTGGTTTTAATTCTGCGACTTCGCGTTTTATGTATAAACAGCAAACTTATGATGAAAGTCTGCCCTATGATGAACGTATCTATGATTTCGGGGGCAGTGGGGCAGTGGCGGTGGCTAAGGGACCAAATCAAAATATCAACAATTCTAAAAGTAACGCTACCGCTTTATTCACAACTTCTAAAGTCTTACGATCAAGCGGAAATTCGGGAAATGCTGAATTATTCAGACCACTATAGGTTGCGACAGCCGAAGAAGTGGCCGAAGAAGATCCAGAACCAGATCCCGAATTTGATGTTAGCCGCTTAACTGGTCTCAGTCCTACTTCAAATTTAGCGAATGCTCTGCCCGAAACAAATCGCACACCACCTTCATCACTATCTCTAACGCAAATTAACAGCACTATGGCCGGGTGCAATACCGAATTTCAATGGCCCGAGAAAATTCATGCATCGACAGTGAAACAAAACGATTTACTGTGGCGTCAACAGCAACAATTAGATTATAATGCTTATAACGATTATCGTTCACATCCATCATCTACGCTTAGCTCTTCAACTTCGGATAGTGAACAATTCGAATATCGTTCTGAATATATGCCGCCACGTATACCACCCAGTCCGGCTCCATAAATTGAGGCATTAAATAAATAATCAATCGAATTACAAAACACAGGGTTTCCGTATTAGTGAGGCTGACTAATTATTACTTAAAAGCAATATTTGACGATAGCAAGGTTGATGATGATATTGAAAAATACGTTAAATTGACAATAGTTGTGCTCTTTCACTCGTGGAATAATGTCCTAACCAAACAAGGAGTGCCTTACAATATTCTCCCAATCATTTACTGAAAACAAAAAAAAAAAAACAAAAAAAAAAAGTTTCCCCCCGATCATATGCACATCCCGCCCTCATACTTGCATTTTTGCACATAAAAGCGCACTCACTTAAAAGTAACAACAGCACACGTTTATCGTAAAAGTGAAAGGAATATACAGACAATTGATTGATTGTATTTAGAATAATGCAAATGGAATTTGAGACTTGCTAACCTAGCTGACGGCGAATGTACGAGAAATGGACTTGTTTTTTTTTTTTTTTTTTTTTTTTTTTTTTTTTTTTTTTTACTCAAGCGGAGAGAAAAATAATAAGGTCGAAACATATTGGAGATATTGATTTGATCTTTTAAAATCTTCTCCTTCCTCTATAAAGACGTCTCTTTTCACGCCCGTCAAAGGATGGGGAATATATTCATTTTGTCCAAACGTTTGCAATATACAGAAGGAAACTTCCCATTCAATATATATAATCTTGATCAGCATGAAATTCTAAATCGATTTAAACATGTCCCTCTGTCCGTCTGTCTGTCTGTCGTTCTCCTGTTGACAAAAAAACAAAACTACCGGCTTGCAATTCAAACTTCCTGCAACGTTCAAACTTCCTACACGCAATTTTGTATGGGAGACTCGCCAAATCTGTCAAAGGATACACGTAAACTGAGAAAAACTCTGTTTTCCAAAGGGGAATAAAAAATTGATTTTTTGCTCATTGGTCACAACCTGCGGCAGATAAATCTATAAAAGTTTGATCTGATAATCTACAGGGGATGCAAAATACGAAAATGGAAATAAGTGATCAGGCCTATTCAATATTATGGCTTTTTTTCTTTGTTTTTTTTTTTAGGGTAATGCTGACGGATATAAAAGATTCGCTTACAACGGAGCACAATTTTTTTAATTTTTTTTTATTTTTTTTTTTTTTTGGTTAATCAAAAAAATCCGGTCACAATCCGCTGTGGTTTGCAATAATTCCTTGCGATGGTGGAAAGGAAAAATGTAGACTTTGCTTAATCTTTTGCTGAACCATTTGATGGCATTTACTTATTCCATACTTGGATACTTTTTGCATATAAAAGTTTTTATGCCTTACCGTTTGCGATACAAAGGTATTTTGCGCGAATGTATGCAACACCCAGAAGAATTTGAGATAGACCCGTCTTTTCTTGTAAGCTTGTCTGTCTATCTGACTGGCCATCTTGTTTTTTGTGTTTAACCTACAGCTCTTTCGAGGTATTTTGATGAGATTTAATACACTGACGTGTTTTGCCCTAATGGCAAATGATATTAAAAATGGTTCGGACGGGATTACTTTTTCGACCATTTCTCATATGATATATTACTATTATATAAGGACCTTATCTATAAATACAATAACACGTTTCATAGAACGATAAAAATGACGCCAAATCAAGTGAGTTCTTCAAATGAGAAATCTCTGCTGGATACGGTATACAGCACGCTGTATAACACGCTGTAACTCACAACTGAATGCACCAAACAAAAAACAGCAAAAGAATTTTTTTTACTGCGAAATGTACAGTATGTAAATGTACAGTATCGGAAATTGTTTGATCGATACTTTACGAGAAATCTATCAGTGCAGCCATCTACCGAAAAAATAATGGATTTCTTTTTCCCCAAACTAATGTTATTGTGAAAAGTTGTTCTAGAAAGTACTATAGGGTAGAATAGATTAGGTTTGGTTTCACTATAATTTTTATCGCAAGCTTATTACAGCTACAAATATTTCAAGTAGTTCCTGCTTATTTTTTATACAACAATTCTTAATAATAATAATTATTAAACATTTTTTCTTATAAGAAATTCTGTATGTGTTTTGAGCCTATTAATTTTCTCTTATCAAAATGTAATCTTCCGATGACTTGACGTATACCTCAAAACAAATAAGAAATTAAACAAAAAAAAAAAATAAAAAAAAAAAAATAAAAATTGAAAAAAGTTAATTTTCTTAAAAAGGTTTAAAAAGGAAAAAACAAAAAAAAAAAAAGAAAGAAATAATAATCAAATTATTAATAAAATAACCAAAGAGTTAAATGTTAAACGATATTCTAAAAGTGAAAAACTGAATAAAAGGTAATTTGCAAAGCTACGAATTTCTAAAACGTTAAAAAGGTATCCATCTCCTAAAGTATTCCTTAAAAATAATATAATTAAATAAACTAAATACTTACAATTCTCATGTTACAGTTGTGTGTGTGTCTGTGTGTGTGTTAATTAATTAATTAATTAATATTTGCATTTTATTCCAGAAAAAAAACTTAAAACAAAAAATTCCAAATTTAATGTTAAGATGTTTTCATAGAATATTTCTATATTGAAATACGTGCATACACATATATATTAAAGATCAAATATATATATATTTAAAAATTAAAAATATAAAACTATTAACTATTAAAAAAAAGAAAAAAAATTTTTTTATAAACTACAGATAACTAATTCTTTTTCTTCCTTTCTTGAACTCGTATAAGATACTGTAATATTTTCCAATGCTATAGGGTTGTTCACGGGAAAGTGTAGAGCAAAAAAAAAAAAAAGAAAAAAAAAAATCTACGCGGTTGTATTTTATTCTAATCTAATAATGAGAAATTCGTTTAAAATTGAATGCAAATCAGATTTCTACACTTTTCAATGAACACTTTACGTATATGTAATATGAAGGCACTTGATTTTAACAGAATTTTATCTTTTTTTTTTTTTTCTTAACACCATAAGAAAATTTATATGTATACCAATATATATATATAATATATATATATATATTTATTATTTTTATTTCAATTTTTTTACTTTTGTTTCTTTGTCGTTTTTTTTTTTTGTTTTTTGTTTTCTTCTTCTTATATTTATTTGTTATTTGATTTAGGAAATTATCGGTGAAGAAGGTCGTGAAGCGTATAAAAGCTTAATAGAACGCAAACCTTTATTAAATGCTACGACCGCTGCTTGCTTATTGGGACAATTAGATCCACATATCGATCGTCTTAATATGACTAAAACCTTGCCTAGACGTTCTATGCAACGCGATGAATTTTGTTTAAGTCACGGCGTTAACAATTTCACGACTTCGCCTAGATTTAACGGTGATATTGATAGAGATTTGATGATACCACCGTTACAAAATGCTCCACGTCCTACTACGTTGCCAACAAGGGGAGCGGCTAATCGAGCTCGAAAAGTGGAATTAGGTTTATTACCTTCAAGTCCGCAACGTGATAGCGTCGACAGTAGTCACAGTTTTACGGCTGCGAAAACATCTGATAATATTTCACCTTGTGAGAGTCCCAGCTATGTAACAAATACTGCCAGTTTCAAATTGCCCGATTCAATGCCAGCAGACTTGAATCCTCTGCCTGTACCGCCGAAGGAGGGTAAAAAACATATACAAACAAATCCTAAAAGGCATGTACGTAAATATCCCTTAATACTGCCCGCTAATGGTGTACAACGTACTCTCAATAAAGTGATTGGAACTGAGAATACAAATCTATGTAATATGGCTGTAACGGTGAATATGACGCCCAATCTTTGTATAAAAAAAACTTCGCAAATTGCCAGTCCCACATCACCGTCAGCGCCAGCAGCAGCAGCAGCAGCAGCAGCGGATTATGAGAATTTTAAAAATAATGAACGAAATTATCAAAATGTCGATCATTCGACTACGGATGATAGCGCCTCTCTACAATTTGAATCCATATTGGAAGCGGACTTTAATAAGGATCAAGTCTTGCATACACCAGATGTTACAGATGGTTTTTACAATTTCTCTATACAAAAGGAACACTATCATAAAAGCAAAGAAGTAGAATACGATCCGAAAAAACTTACCGGTTTGTATGTTAATGAGGATGAATTAAGAAATTTGGATATTGATGGGAATTTGGAAAAATTGAAGGTGAACGCTACTGAACATATTAGGAAAATCGGAATTCAAAATGGTATGAAAATGAAAACACCACCAAAACAGGAGGAACAAATAGTCGAGAAATTAGATGAGATTAAGACTCAAACAACCACCACTCTTAAAATGCCGTCACCTTCGTCATTGAAGGTGACAGAAAATTCTGAGGAAAATCTTGACGATGAATTTAAGAGTCGAATTTCACCGCCTGTTGGTAATGCGAATCCGAAACGACTGTTTTATGTTAAAACTGCTAAAAATGAGTTGGCCGGACATGCTTTATTTCAAAAAGTACGCGAATCGGCCGATAAGGCCTCGGCAGTGCAAACATCGGATAACGAGGCACAGCGTCATTCTACGCAAGTGTTGAAAACTGATATAACCGAGGGGGAATTTTTTACGGCCGCTGTTAATCGTTTAGGTGCCTCCAATTCGGTTAGCTGTGAAGATTTGCTTGAATTCGCGGACAAAAAACCAAAAGGACGTGAACGTGGTATTGATTCTGACGAGGTACGCATTATGGTGAAAGTTTTAGGAAAAGATGTAAGTTTATCTTGCAAAAGTATTTGTTTATCAATTAAGTTGTTCTTTGCTTCCCCATAGGCTACACCGGAACGTTGCTTGGCCTCGCTGGAATTCATCAATTGGGACGTACATAAGGCCATTAAGATTTTAAAGTTACAAAATATTTTAAATACATTAAATTTAACATTGGCAGAGACTGTTGATCACTTGCAAAGTTGTGACTGGGATTTACATACAACCGCTAGACGTCTCAAAATCATGAAAGCTTGAATTTTCTCCATAAAAGCAAATCGCTTACGTTACAATAACGACTGCAACAACAAAAAAGGAGTTTTGCGTTTATAAAGCCATTTAGAATTTTGTGAGTTTTTAGTTTGTTTATCATTAATTTAATATTTTCATCGATATAGTTATTCTTTATGTGTTCTCTACTATCTATTCAAATCGGTGACCGCGGATGTTAAGAAAGCGTTCAGAAATCCCTTCTTGTCGTTGTCGTCCATCAGTGAAAGTATGGGACGGAAGAACTCCATGACATATAAATAACATTTGCCCTTGACGTTTGCCCTTCCAATCCGATATCTACAGTACGTAGGAAAGGTAGAGTAGATCTGCTCTCTAATTCCTGTTTAAAAAATAAAAGTAAAGCTGGAATAAAACCTGCAATCCAAATTTAAAAAAAAAAAATCAAAAAAATAATTTTAATACCTTTCAAAAGCTAGATTTCGATTCTTTGAATTAATTAACTCTCTTGGTGATAGCTTTTCCAATGTCGTCTTTAATCAGCAGCACCCAGATGATTATTATGTGGCATAAATTTTCAATTTTGTTCAATGCATAACACATTTAAACATGCCATAGTAAATTGTCCAAAAATGTCTGTCCCAGATATGTGACGCCGGGATACTTCAAGGTAATACCCCTTAAATGCAATCGCTTGTGGCAGGGCTGCACTGTTTGATATGATCTTGGACTTTTCCAATGATGTGGTCTTTATCTCTTTAATAGTGACAAAATTCCGCCCTTTCATAAGTCTTTTCAAATTTTTGAGACAGGAAAAATTCGCAAGGGCCCAGTCCGGTGAATACAGTGGCTGTAACCTGATTATGATGTCGTGTTTGGCCGAAAGGTTACGAACAAGCAATAACATGCGAGCTGGCGCATTATCGCGGTGCAATATCTATTATACGGGTTGTTTCACATTTCCGGGTGATTTTTTCGTATTTCTTCCTTACTCTCCTGAGGGTCTTCTGGCAAGAACTACCGATGCACTATGCCATTTTAATCGAAGAAAACAGTGAGCACAACCTTCATATTTGACTGAACTTGGAGGGCTTTTTTTCCATCTTAGCGTTTCTGGCCGTTTCCATTGGGATAATTTGGCATTTCTTTCGACGTCATTACCCTACACCCATGTTTCGTCGCGCTTTCGAGCAAATTTGGATCGTCGTTAACGTCACATAATGTCGACATATTGACGCTAAAGAATCCTTTATTCAAAAAATTTAGAAAAGAGCGAAAGAGGGTGAGAGGGAACTAAATGGATTTAATTTGATTTCAAAACTGCTTGAAAAACAAGAAAAGCAGGAAAAAGTTTAGATAATGATTTCTGCTACTTGCACTACTTCTTCTTCTACTACTTTTTCCTTAAATCCTTTCATTACATTGGAGAGCGTTAATAAATGATCCCAAACCGTTTAAACTTTCTCTTATTTTTTCTTTTTTAAACATCTCTCTCTACACTCGATTGTATCATGCAAACTTGTTTCATTACGTAATCGCTGAGTAAAATGTATGCCACTTTATTGCGTTTAATAGATGTTCAGGGTGAGGTCCCTCAACCACAAAGTTGAAATCATAGACGTTATTTTACTGAGTATGCTTTGTATTGTGCTTTGATGCATAGATATGTGTGGTAAGGAGGATCCACGCTTCCAAACTTGAAATCGAAAAGCTGGGATTTTTCGCAACTCATTCGTACATTAGAATGATTTAAGGAAGACATTATAATCACTAAGTTGAGGCAAAGTCAAAATCATTTTCTGAATTAATCCCTGTGACTGTGTAATCTTAAAAGCTCTCCTTTTTCCATTTGTCATGTTGCCGTTTTCTGGAAGTACTTCTTTAGAACGAAGAGCACGTCTTAAGTTGAAACAAAAGAAAATTTTATTTTTATTTGAAATTTCACTTACGGCATTTTGATAGTAAATCCATATTTTAGCTAATCAGTTGATTGAATATAAATGGGGTGAAGTATACATAAGTTGGGGCGCTGTAGTTTTTTTTTTTATACCTACCACTATAAGATAGGGTTTTTTTTCTCATAATGTATGTAACACCCCAAGGGAAACTTCAGAGATCCTATTAAGTATATATGTTCCTGATCAGCGTGAAAACTCGAGTTGATTTAGCGATGTTTGTCCGTCTGTATGGTGTGTGCTGGGGGCACTCTATAAAGATGTCGCCTTTAAATTTAGCAAAAACATTGGAAATTGGTCAGAGCAGAAGCGCGCAATGGGGCGCATACTGAGCGCAACTCAGAACGAAATATTTTGGATTTTTGCTCTTTGCTCGGAAATTATAAAAGAAGGCCGAAACTTTCTACATTTGCTTTTTTCTCTAGTCCAAAAATTGAACCAATCGGCCGCGTTCACAAAAATTACGACTAATTAAATGAAATTCTTTTTACATTTTTTTTGGAGGTTTAATGCTTATTTATCGTAAGGCAAAAAAGACTTAAAACTTTCAAAACTTTTTGTACACTCCACAAATGAACATATATTATTTGCCTAAAAATAGGTTGGTTCTAAAATAAATATGGTAGGCACCGCGATTAATTTTTCCTTAATAATATCAGCGAAGTGGGTATCAAATAAATGAACTTAGAGTGTAGAATGCGAAAAGCATAGTGGCGGGTATACGAGATTTGGCCCCCAGCGAATATAACTTTCTTACTTGTTTTTTTTTTTTTGTTTTGTTTATGGGAATTTGTGGCTTTAATTGGAATAAAAGCTAAAAAGTACTGATTGGTGCCAGCTATCAAATCACTGGCCATCTATAGCTTTATTTTCTCTTGTTTTATATTTATATATAAATTTATCTGATTTTTGTATTTATTTCGTGATCATGTCTTAAAATTCATTTATATTATGGCATTTTTTTTTTTTTTTTCTAACTTTTAGAATCTCATTTTTCCACTTGTA